CAATAGGAAAGAAAAATTAAGACCACATATTAAAGTAAGTTTGTTAAATTGTTTTTCACAATAATATTAACACGGATTGAAACAAATTTTCTCGTTTAAGTTAGTTAATCCTGTCCTCTATATGATTAATCCAATTGTCTTTAAAGCCGAAATGTTATTGATTTCAAGCCTAACGCCGAAACAAGATGAGAACAAAGAAATCTTGCATGAAAGGAGCAGTAAAAGTATTCATGGGGTCATTGTGACGGCAATATTTTCCACTTTTTAATAAAGCTTTGCCATCAGTCTTTTATCAAAGCTTACTTGGTTTGAGGGGCTTTTACCCACTAACTGCCAAGAGTGACCAAGACAGAATTTCTCCCTAAAATATCAACACTATATCTGAAAAGTGATGAGAATAAAGAAAAATGCTAATTAGGGGATCATCCGTTGATCCAATACCTTATTCTCCCAATTAACATCGTATGAATCGGATGGCAGACAGTAAGGAAGATTACTAATAAGAGCTTGAGAGTGAAAGGTTTAAGAAGAATAGACTGGTAACATCATAGTGCACAGAGAAGACGTGAAAGTTTCATCGGCGACGTCATCGATGATGTCATTGAAAAAAGCCGGCGATATCATCTCTTGTTCAGTGTTATCTGTGAGACTGTAGCAGAGCAGCACGGGCATTCACCAACGCTTTGATGGCTCCACGGTTCCTGGCGTCAAGCTTCTGTCTGAGTGTATTAAGATGGCCAACCTTCTATAGGCTCGGTTAATTTCCTCCCTGAAACGATGATCCAGACGAATGGAGTAAGTATTTTAAATCATAACATTTTAGTTTACACGTTGAACTTGACCGAGCGCTTTTCGCTTTAGTGTGGCAAGACCAAAACTAAAGTACTTACAACGGCCAATGAGCAGAAAGAAAAATACTGATCCATCCACTGATATTTATTATATGGTGGTTATGCTTCAAATGGCGCAATTTCTTTTATGCGAAGGACACCCGCGAAGGTCTACTGTATTCTTAAAGAAATTCAGATCAGATAGAAAAACAGATTCTTGAATTCTTACCTCTTCGGATATAAAACCATAAAAGGGCTGAAAGGTAATTCCGTGGTCTTGCTTCCTTAGTGCGGTTATTTAGTTCACATATTTTGTGTTTTCTGAGTTAAAAAATTTTCAAAATTTCACATAGGCTCGAAACAGAAGGGTTGGTTTTCAAGTTTTTAAGTCAGTGTCTAATCTAAGATATCCTACTGTTTGGTAAAAAGACATCGTTAACGAAATAATTTTCACCCTCAATGAATGTCAAACCCTCCTTTGCATTTTCTCTCCACACATCACCTATCCGCATTCTATAACACTTAGGCGTCTTAATGGCTGTTCTATGTGAAACAGCTTCACTAACGTAACGTCACTTCCATTTGAACAGCAGGTGCCTGATAAATTTATAGCAGGCTAATTGAAACCTCAATCTACTTCATTCTATTTTCTGTTTTAAAGCAACTGATCAAAATAAGAAGCCATCAGCCGTAACAGTTTGTTTTACTTATTTTCGACCTTCCAGGACCTTTCTATGCAATTTTACTCTGAATTTTCATCCGACCTCGATCGAGGAAGTCGTCCAGAAAATACTGATGATGACTGGCGTCAAACACGCAAAATGCAAATGATTTGAATTGAGCTTAAGAGCAGAATGAAAACCCCAATACAATTCATGTTTAAGGTCAGGACACGCAAACTCATAAGAATGCGTTGGACATTCACCCACGTACAAAATGAAGAAAATTCATTTTTACACACTTCTTAGTTTGAATTTATTTCTTGAAACGTGCATGGGTTCTTTTTATATTAATTTATCGTACAAGCTGTACATCATAACCTTCCTGAAAACGCGTTAAAATTGAGGTGCAAAATGGTTTGCAAATTACATTTCTTTGGGTTTTTTTCATCACAGTTGATTCTCTCATACTCAGTAATTAAAAAGAGAGATGTTTTCTATCTTCCTGGTGATGTCATTCAAACTATCGTGCTTGATGAAACATTTACCGGACTACGCACTTTAGTTGTTTATTAATACGGTTTATGCACATTTTAAACCGGCAAAATAAACAGCATATGGAGATCCGCGAAGTTCTTATTCCTTTCATACAGCACGACGGATACTTTGTGTACGATAAAATACGTGACAGAGAGCAGATGCTGTTACTGACCACATTTTGAGTACAAAACGTAAATTATAATAAGAGCTCGCTTCCACCTTTCCCAGGTTATGACATGCGTTTCGCAGAATTTCCCACTTGCGTTGCTGAGAATTCCGCACACGCTGGTTCAGTAATCTTGGACTGTATACTTTCTCTTGATTCAGGCTTTATTGACGACAATTCAGCATTACACGTTCCGTTCCGCGATCTATCTACTCTATTACAATTTAATGTTAGGGTTACAAAAATGTTACATTTATTAGCTTAGGAAATCCACACCCAGATAAGTAATTCCGCGTGGGATTCAAGATTCACTCACGTTCTACAACGATCCGTAGGCACTAATTCCCTATTAAACATGGCTTTACTTGACAATCATGTTGTTAAGTTCCTACGCGCTTAAACGCCCTGCAAATACCTAATTTCATACATCACTGTTCGCTGAACTAAATTGATCACCCTATTCCGCTCCCGGTTACATGTTACTTCTAATCTTAATGTTGACTCGGTGCTTTAACGGTAACGAAATTACAACTCACTTGATACACAATAAAATTCACAATAAATCTAGGAATCAATTTTTAGGTGGAAACATTTCACAACAATGCGAATGGGTAAAAGTACCGCGATTGGGAAAAAAGTATTTTTCCGATGTACAAAATCAATGTAGAATTGTGTGTTCTTAACTGCTAGTCCTTTAGTATACTTTGTTTGCACTGTATAATTACACATTCCTCCCTGTCCACTAAGTGAGGACTAAAATTAAAAGTTAAAATAATTACACTATGAATTGCAATAAAATGAGACAATTTAAAAAGGTTTTCACGCACTTAGTATTGATAATTAAAAGTTTAATCGCTTTTCCCTTGGATATAGAGGCAGGCTTTTCCCTCTGCAGTTGCGAGAGTCACACAATATCAACAGATTCAACAGAGTTTCGATTTCTGTTATTAGCTAGTTAGGTCTTTGTTCAACATGAAGTCTTTTAGTAAGTGTCAGTGTTTTTATTTTATAATCGCGTTGTTTAAGTCGATTTTACCCTTCAGAAGTTTGGGGTCCTTAAAGTTTTTATCGATATAAGTGGCCAATTTTATTGTGAAAATTTTTTAAGAGTAAAAATTACCCTAACACTCGTTGTCTTGTTGTCTCTTTCTTTGTTCTCTCTTCTACACGAGTTGTTACAACGGGGACTAGCTCTGATCTCTCGAGGAAAGTGAGGGTCACCGCTTATAAAGGTGACACTTATGGAGCTGTCAATCTCTAACCTTCGTCATACTTTTATACTTAAATAGCGAATCACGTTGGGCTACGCAGAACGGAGTTCGCATTCTAAGTAGATACCTTTGCGATGTTTGCGCTTTACGAAATGTGTTTCTATCTCAAATGTCTTGGTCTTACAGTCAAGTTTAGGCAAAACAAAAACAAGATCGACAATATAAAAATCACAATAAACCTAGTAACAGAATTAAAATCTTACTTGAAAAGGTATCCTAAAAGAAAATTGTCCTTGAAGGCTGTTGCATAAAAGCAGAATAAGCACAAAATTCGGAGAAGAAAGGGCGTAGCCAAGGTACCGCCCCTAAAAGAGCTACGGAAAAATTATTCCGTCTCCATGTCAATTTCACGATCACAGTAAGGAAAAGATGACCAAACTCTATCTGTAAGGTAAGACCGCCGAAAGGAATAAGAAATGATCAACTGGCTTATTACAATGTTTACTGAATGGCTTATGCAAATGTGTTATTTCCATTCATTTTCTAACACCATTATAGGAAACCCTTACAGTGTTTTTAGGTTAATGTATTTCTATTTTTATCGTTTAACAAAATGGCTCGAGATAGTTAACATGCATTATATCTTGTTCAAGTAGAACCGCACAATAAATCTTAATGTACAAAATATAACTAGAAAGGCCAAATTATGATTAACCAAAACAAATGAGGGGGCAATATAGCGCTACGTTCATAGTTTCATAAGCTACGTTCAGTGACCACCATAGAAGCGCTATTTTGGAGTCCATGTCTCATTTTGCTGGTGATAACAGATCTTATAACTGTGTTGAGCTAGGAGCAAATATCCTGAGAATAATTGGCATTTTTGTTAATGTAAAACCTATAAAGAAATTAACAAAAACAGAAAAAATTTCCAAGAAAAGACGAAAACTTCGCCTTTGCTGTCATAAGAGTGAGGGATAACGATCACATAATTGCTTTCCCGAGAAAGTATCTCGCGAGGATTTCTAATTGTACCCGACTTTGTTCAACGTTTAGATATTAAGATTCCAAAATGATTATGTGACGTGTCGTGGTTTTTACGCTTCTAAAATAAATTACAATACCCTGCCAATTATTCCGAAAGATTTGTTAAAGCTGTTCTTCACTCCTGTAAAACGGTTTTGGATTACTTAGTTTTGTTTAGACATAAAAACTTACTTAAAAGTTCAAACCACCGATTTCACTTTAAGGCATGCAGTAATAATAATATTAACAACAAAGCAGAGAATCTTCAATCCTAATCTAATCCTGGTGCCCGCTAGACATAATCAAAAGTCTGCGCATGAGTCAAGCCTGAGTGGCCCATAACCTTGGAGTTTATCCTGGTTACGGCAAATGCAGCATGTATACCTTTGCATATCACACACAGACACCCTTTTCCTGGACGGGATGTTAATCCATCGCTACTTACCGCCCAGCATTTCGCCTTACAGTAGCTGTTACAAAGAATAATAATACTCAGCGGATAGAGACAATGTGAGGTAGAATTACATGGCTTAGAAACAGAAATAGACTCGCTATTGTAATTCCAGCTCTAAGAGAGATAGAACACTTCTACCTCGTCAGGAGTAAAATGGCTAGCTCCAGCTAACACTGTATCCTTTTCCTTTACTTCTCTTGGAGCCAAGAAAGAGTGACCAAAGTTGGTGTACGAACGAGCATTATGACCTGCGTTGTTAGCGATATAAATATCGAAGCCTCCACCAAATGTTGGACCGTAAGTTATCTTCATATAAATGGCTCGGGAATCTTGCTTCACCATACTCTTAAACGGCGCCAATCCTTCTTTATTTTCCAGCGAAAAAATAAAAGCCTTGTCTGTCTTACGGTATCCTTTGTACGGATCATTATCTACAGGCCAAGACAATAAAAAAAAAATTGCAATTCTTGCATAAAAAAATTTTTAACGAGATTACTTATTCTATAAGAGCTAGCAACATACAGCCGCAGTTAAAGAAAATCATGTAATGACTTATTTGAAGCATATTTTTCGACTTGAAGTTATTAAGACTGAAAAAAGCGAAAGAGAAAAATACTGATATGTATGTATCATGAAAATTATATTATTCATACCACAATAATTCCAGTCATGTTTGAAGACAGCATCGAATGAGCACCACCACCTTCCAAGAACAGAGCCCCTCTTTGTACAGTAGTTGTAGGTATGGTTCCTATACTTGAAAGGAAATACACAACAGCGGCCTGACGGGTCCTCTGTTCTTGCTCCCGGAGGACAAGCTGCATACAAAATATTTTAATTCAATGCATCATTAATAGCATTTTTTTCGGATAATCGGTTTTTAATATTATTCACGAAATCTTCAAGATAGAAAGGGCATAATCTACTTGCACCATGTTTTGAAGTTAAGGGTTATAGTACTGATTTTACATTACATATCTGTACATGAACTTGTGAGGGCACTATTACTTTCTAACGGTTACGTATGCGTGAGTCCTTTTCGTGATTTCCATCTATAACACTGGATATAAAACCTGGTTACAAATCTGTCGGAGAAGGTTGATGTAAGATATCCAAAGATTGATTCAAGGAGCTGCAACATGAGTGCAGTCATGAACTGGTAGGTAGTGGCTGATTGAAAAAACGTCTTAGATAATATCGATATTCTTTTAAAGTCTGAATTCACGCATTAAGTAGTCTCCATGGATTTCCCACATGTACATTTGACATTGGAACTTTTAATCTTGTTATCCGAAAACGAGAGGGCACGTTTGCTAAGTGTTGTTCGCATACATTGACTGACGTAGAGCGGAGAAGAGGAGTGAAGATACTAGATCAGTTGAGAATAATTTCGACTATCGCCAAGAGATTCTTTACTTTTTTTATGTTTGACACTGAGATGTGACATCGATAGGCAGACTATATGCGGGTAAGATGGTCATTATTATGTTTAAAGTGGACACAGTTTCTTACCCCAGGGAATGTCAGTGTACCCACCAAAAACATACTGGTCTTTCTGAATAATTGTTATCATATCTTTCTTTCCATCGCAACGAGTGTGGAAGGCATCGCCTGCCCAGCCATGTGAAGAGGCTCGGTAGCAAAGCAACCAGTCAGAATCATATCCAACGGCAGGAATCAGGAACTCACGAAGATATGCGAAGTAAGATTCATTTTTCGACAATACAACTGAATTTTTTATGTATCCTGCAACAGTAGAATGAAAAACACGGATGGTTTACACTATATATCTCTCTACGTAGAGAAAGAATCAGTGGTTGATCCACACTCTGGCTACTTTGCGACACCACGACACCATCGGAAAAATTATGTTCCAAGCACGAGAAAGCTACATTTTCATCACGTCGGTCCCTTTAGTAAAAACTTTAGATCTACTCTTTGCGTTTTATGAGCAGTATTAAAAACACTTTTTTCTCGTTGCCTTACAACTGAATCGTTGTATTTGCGTTATCGTTATATTTTATACAATTTGCAGCCTGCAAACTCTGTCACTCATCAGAGCAAACATTACTTCATAATTGCTATGTGGTGCTATATAGAGAATAATACATGGGCGCGGGTAGATATGAAATTTCTCTTCGAATGCCATATCTACAAACAGCCATGTATTATTTTGTTTATCATAAAAACACAATAGCTCTTTACTGTCAATGAATAGTCAACTTTATTAATAAATGAAAATAAAAGGATCGACAATCTCCAAATTAAAATCGTAAATTGCGTTGGCGCTAAGGCTCAACATGAAAAATGCGTTGGAACACTACAAAAACAAACCATGGGCATAATTTTAAATATACAAAATTGACGGATACATGGCCAAAATCGGCCTGTGGCAAATCTTCCAGTTGTGGATTTTCGTTCTCAGCCGCGAGAAAAATTCCACCACCAAAGCTACTGAATATGTATTTTTCTGTTTTTTTTCTCCGTATCTTGGTTTTCTTCCCTTTCTAGTAAAAGTTTGAACATCACTGTCTGCAAGACGGTGAAGGCTTCGCCGCTCTTTCATCAAGCTGACCGACTGGCGCGAAATGCGAGTGACGTGTCGGCAGCTGATTGGCGATATCAAACACAAGTAAAAAAAATACGATATTTTTTTAAGTGTGCTTTTACGGCTTTTCTCAGGGCTAGAAATCCTTCTATAACACCGTAGTTTATATGATAAATGCCGGTAACATATTGACAAACCTTCACAACTGTGTCCGTCTCCGATGAACCCAGGTTTACAACTGCATCGAAATGATCCTGGCGTGTTTTTACAAACCCCTCTAGTCAAACTACATGTGTGAGTATTTTGAGCACACTCGTCATTATCTGAAACAAATTCAGTAGGTTTATAACTAGGAGTTTCTTTGCTTTAAGGCATGTAATACCGGGTTTTACAAAGCTAAGGTATCAGAACCGCCCTATTATAATACGAAGAAGATATATAACACAATACACAATACGTTTAGTATGTAGTCATGAAAGCTGGAATTTGTCCCATGTTTTAATACTTGATTATGACGCACTACGATTTTAAGAACAAGTCTCTAAGGATCAAACATCTTGGGAAATGAAAATTTTCAACCCCACTTCAAATTTTGCATGTAGTTAGGCACTCAGGGGGGATGCACAAAAATGCTCTTTTTATAGGTTGCAGCAGTCTTGTTGCCATGGTAACAATGGCTGCTTGTTCGAGGCCTAGGGCCTCATTTTCATTCAAAAACGTTGCAAAAAAGAGTGAAATGTTTATTTCTATGTCTCAAGCTAAATAACATTACTAATTGGCACTTCTACCATACATAGTAACATCATTCGTCCTCACTTTGATATATTTAATTTTCCCTGAGAGTGAATGTGAACACACCAAGAGATTATTTATCTCAGTACAGCTTCGGTCATTTTTTTTGTCGGGTAAAATAGGGAAAACTTTTATCTGAATTTCTCCAAAAGTACACCGATTCTGGAACTGAAACTACCCACCTAGGTGGTTTTAATATTCTAGTTTTTAAATATGTAAAAATCTCTGCAGGCCTGCCTCTACTTTTTATAGGGGAAATTTGCGAAAAAAGCTCAAAATCAGATATTGCATAATTTGGCGATGTTTACATCTAATGTTCTCAACAACAAACGTTTCAGACAAATGAAACGTGCGAGGCTTTGAAAGAATGTTATCTTATGAGCAATATCCCGAAGAGAAATCTCGCCTCTGGTTGTCATCTTTTAAAAAAGGTTGATCAGCCTTCATGGAGGACAACTCGATGTAACTACAAACATATACCTCAAATCGTGTGCATATCATCAAGATTCCGAGTGCTGCACCTTCTTTCATGGGAATTTGAGCGATTCGAAATCTTCTGAAGATACACTGTTATACTTGTATGTCATTTGAAACATGTTGAAGTCGGCTGATCTACACGAAACTATCCTCACACCGGTCATTTGTCATAAACATGTACGTTGTCACGATGGTGTGACAATGTATTTCTCAGTGATGTGTCCATCGGTTGCTCAAAAGAAGACGAGAAATGGGTATTTTCAAATATGTCAGCAGATTTCCGCTTTCTGAAGTAAAAATAACCAAAAAAAAAAGGAAAACATCGATTGAACGCTCCTAAACACTGAGAATCTGAGAGTATAAATCGTAACTTGTCAGCGGCAGTACTAAATGTGAAACCCAGTTGCAACAATAACAGTTTGAACGACATAGGTTTTTCCTTACAAAGAGCAGATTCGGGCAGTTATCATTTTCTTGTGACAGAAATCATTAGGTTTCGAATCATCTGAAAACTGTCAGAAAACTGTTAGAAAATTTGCATGAGATATGATGAGGAGAGACTTATTACCGCCGCAGTGCAATCGAGTCGATCAATGTTTCCTTCCGTGTCTTAATAAAGAAAACATCATAACGAAGTTCGAAGTAACAGATTTAATGAAATCATAATGTCATAATTCCACCTTTCAAACAACTTATTATCCACACGTAAATGGCAACTTGTCACTTGAACGAAACTCCCCATGGTTGATATGCAATCTGGATTGCTTCATGTCCTTCAGGAAAAGGAACAGCGATTTCTTCACCATTATTTTCCATAATTTTCTCCCGGATATCTTTTACAAGCATAAAGAAAGATGAATAGAGCGCAATCTCCCATTGATTTACACGAGAGGAACTCAAAGGTCTCTTTTAATTTTCCCCTGAGGTGGCCGGCTCACCAGAGAGAAAAAGGAGATCGTTCGGTCCAATAACGTTAGTCTGTAGAGATTATCAAGCTAACAACTGAGAAGATTGTGCCCTTTGGTTCATCAGTGACAGCATTAATTATTTCAAATCTGTATTTCTCGGTCCAAGCGACACCAAAAATAGTTCCTTTGTAATTTTGTGAGAACTTTCTATAGCATTTTACCGTCAAGGGAGATAAATCTCAAGGCTCAAAGCCAATCTAACGTTCGAGCACGTGAGAGACTCCCTGAAAAAAGTCAAATTTTTGGAAATTGATTGTGATGAAATCACTGTTCCGTTTGCTGGACTGCAGGGATACTGAGTAGTTCAAAATCTCCATTTTGTGATGATTGTCGCGCGAGTCGTACCAATTGTTATCGTGGCGACTGGGTTTTACATGTAGTACTGCCGCTGAAAAGTTGAGATTTCTTCTTTCAGATTCTAAGTGTCAACGAGCATTCAATTAAGGTTTTCTTCTTTTTTTTTTTGGTTGTTTTTACTTAGAATGCGCGGAAATCTGCTGATATATCGAAAACTGTCCATTTCTTGTCTTCTTTGGGGCGACCGATGAAAACTTCAAGGAGTAATACAGCGTCACTCCATCTTGACAACGTACATGTTTATGACAAATGACCGGTGTGAGGATAGTTTCGTGAAGATCAGCCGACTTCAACATGTTTCAAATGACATACAAGTCTAACAGTGTATCTTCAGAGGACTTCAGATCGCTCAAATTCCCATGAAAGATGGTGCAGCACTCGGCATCTGGATGATATGCACACGATTTGAGGTATATGTTTGTAGTTACGTCGAGTCGTCTTCCATGATGATTGATCAATTTTTTTTTAAACATGACAGCCAGAGGCGAGATTTCTCTTCGGGATATTGCTCATAAGATAACATTCTTTCAAAGTCTTGCATGTTTCATTTTTCTGAAACATTTGTTGTTGTAAACATCGCCAAATTATGCAATATCTGATTTTTGAGCTTCGTCCGTGAATTGCCCCTATAAAAAGGCAGGCCCGCAGAGATTTTACATATTTAAAAACTAGAATATTATAACCAGCTAGGTGGGTAGTTTCAGTTCCAGAATCGGTGTACTTTTGGAGAAATTCAGATAAACGTTTTCCCTGATTTACCCGACAAAAAAAATGACCGAAACTGTACCGAGATGAATAATCTATTGGTATGTTCACCTTCACTCCCAGGGAAAATTGAATAAATCAATGTGAAGACGAATAATGTTACTATGTATGGTAGAAGTGCCAATTAGTAATGTTGTATTTAGCTTCAGATAGAGAAATAAACATTTCACTCTTTTTTTGCGACGTTTTTGTATGAAAATGAGGCCCTAGGCCTCGAACAAGTAGCCGTTGTTACCATGGCAACAAGACTGCTGCGACCTTTAAAAAGGGCATTTTTGTGCATCCCCCCTGAGTGCCTAACTGCATGCAAAATTTGAAGAAGGGTTGAAAATTTTCATTTCCCAAGATGTTTGATTCTCACAGAGACTTGTTCATAACATGGCAAGTATATACACTATAATCAGCCTACCTATTTCACAATTTATTCCACTGAACCCAATTTCACAGCTGCATCTGTATTTGTTGATATCGTCAAAGCAGGTTCCTTTGTTCAAACAAGGACTACTAGCACAGTCGTCGATATCTACAAAATCAATTTTTCGGCAAATCTCTAGTTGTCTTTGTACATTATATGGTTATAAGTATATTAAGTCGATATACTTACCATCACTCTCGAATATGTCACAGGAACAATAATTAATGCCTATTTAATTAATTTTCAAGTGAGAATAAAACATCGCTTATCGAACCTGTTTCGCAATGATCACCATTGAATCCTTGTAAACATGTGCATTTGTATCCTTTACTTTGGGGGATACAGGTTCCTTCATTGTGGCATGGGTCTTGGTCACAGCCAGAAATTTCTGATACAGAAAAAAAATTGAGAAAGTGCTTTCAGACACTTCAGGAAACCTAACA